GTGTATGTGTTCGCTCGTGTGCGTGTCTGTGTGTGTGTGAGAGGGAGAATAACTATGTTTACATCATGAGCGGGAGTGGGTTGGGTAGGGCGGAGCTGTGGAAACTATAGCTGAAAATTATATGAATGCACGAGTTGTATTTAGTTTTAAGTTTGTATTTAAAAATGCATTTTCTCGCAGAAACGTGTTTCCGAGTGTTACGTCAGAAGAAGTTGTCTAATACAATTAATTGACGTCGAATTTTGTTGTGAGCGTGTGGAGGGTTTGGTGCGGGGGGGGGGGGGGGATGTCAGTGCCAATATCTGTTTCATGTGATCTGTCCTATTTTATGTAGTCAGTGGCAGAATTAGGGTAAAAATTGGAAAGAAAGTAAGAAATCTAGAATGAAACCTACAGAAAGACACAGCTGTGTAAGAAAGAAGGAACAGTTTGAAAAAGCACAATTTCGGGCGGGGGAGGGGAAGAGACAGGGAGACAGACAGACAGACAGACAGACAGACAGACAGACAGACAGACAGACAGACAGGCAGACAGACAGACAGACAGACAGACAGACAGACAGACAGACAGACAGACAGACAGACAGACAGACAGACAGACAGACAGACAGACAGACAGACAGACAGACAGACAGACAGACAGACAGACAGACAGACAGACAGACAGACAGACAGACAGACAGACAGAGATGCACACACACTCAAACACACACATACAAAAATCGAGGGTATAAGAAGGAATTACAAAAAGAAATATCGTTAAAAAATTGTATTGTTGTGGCATCAGTTTTGGGGGCAGATCGAAGAATAGACCCCCCCCCCCCCCCCCCCCCCCCCCCCCCCCGCCTACTTCTCCCCAACAAGCATGTCATAAATGCGACTAGTGAGGGATTTTTCCTTCCAAGTTAGAGTGTGTCTACCTGAGAACTCAAGTTTTCGATGACTAAAATCTAGAAGTGGACAAACAACCAGAACTTTCTGCCAGAGTTGACAGCCGCTGAAGCCAGGAAGAAGAGAAGCCAGGAAGAAGAGAAGCCAGGAAGAAGAGAAGCCAGGAAGAAGAGAAGCCAGGAAGAAGAGAAGCCAGGAAGAAGAGAAGCCAGGAAGAAGAGAAGCCAGGAAGAAGAGAAGCCAGGAAGAAGAGAAGCCAGGAAGAAGAGAAGCCAGGAAGAAGAGAAGCCAGGAAGAAGAGAAGCCAGGAAGAAGAGAAGCCAGGAAGAAGAGAAGCCAGGAAGAAGAGAAGCCAGGAAGAAGAGAAGCCAGGAAGAAGAGAAGCCAGGAAGAAGAGAAGCCAGGAAGAAGAGAAGCCAGGAAGAAGAGAAGCCAGGAAGAAGAGAAGCCAGGAAGAAGAGAAGCCAGGAAGAAGAGAAGCCGGCAGGTAGCCAGTGACCAATATGTGTCTTAGTCTCACAGTCCACCTGTCGACACATGCCTTATGCAGGGTACGTGTGCAGACAAGCCATCTTCTGTAGAATTATCTTTCCTGTCTTGATTCGTAATCATTGAGCAGGCGGGAGTGGACAGAAGAGGATGCGGCAACATAATAACAACACAACGACAACAACTCTGTAACAACACAACAATAACTCGGTAACAACACAATAACAACATAAATACAAAGGAAGAAAAAAAAAAAGACGGCAGGGGGAGATTAGGAGGTAGAAGTGCAGGAGGGGGGAGATTAGGAGGTAGAAGTGCAGGAGCGGGAGATTATGAGGTAGAAGTGCAGGAGCGGGAGATTAGGAGGTAGAAGTGCAGGAGCGGGAGATTAGGAGGTAGAAGTGCAGGAGCGGGAGATTAGGAGGTAGAAGTGCAGGAGCGGGATATTAGGAGGTAGAAGTGGAGGAGGGGGGAGATTAGGAGGTAGAAGTGCAGGAGGGGGGAGATTAGGAGGTAGAAGTGCAGGAGGGGGGAGATTAGGAGGTAGAAGTGCAGGAGGGGGGAGATTAGGAGGTAGAAGTGCAGGAGCGGGAGATTAGGAGGTAGAAGTGCTGGAGGGGGGAGATTAGGAGGTAGAAGTGCAGGAGGGGGTAGATTAGGAGGTAGAAGTGCAGGAGGGGGGAGATTAGGAGGTAGAAGTGCAGGAGGGGGAGACCAATAAACACATCACAGACACATTTGCCCAATGTTTGGTAGCTGTTAGTGTGGTCAGACGGATCCCTCCCGCCAAGAGAAATGACCACAGACCATAACCCGCAAGTCAAGGGTTGATTACTGACCTGAAGCCAGAGAGGCGCCCAGGGCTGCGTTTAACAATGGTTACTGATCCTCCCTGGAGAGCGGCGCTGAGATGCCGGGTCTGCAGCACTCACCAGTCCTCCAGCTGACCACTCATTCATAGTGATTTCCTATTGGGGTGAAGCTCCCAGGAGTCACACAGATGACTAGAGAAGTGAGACAGCGAGACTATCAGCTAGTCAGTATCTATCGTGTCGGACCGCTGGGTGAGAAGCATGCTGTGCGGGAGAGAGCCTGCCTGTGGGCGAGAGAGATGGAGGGAAGAGGAACCTCCACACACGACTCACCAACATAATCAATGAATGTGACGTCATTATCGTCTTCTGAAGTTATTTGCTTGAGAACGGCATCCTGGGCTGCCCAGAGAGACGGATGACCTCAAAGATTGAGACAAATGTCCCAAAATTACAGAGCCAGAGATCAAATCGCCGAGGCTTGTGTCGAGGGACAAGGCAGCCCGAGCTCATTTAAGTCAATTGTCCAGAAATGGTCCCTATTCATAGTAGGGGCGTGCCGGACAAACAAAGATGGATGGAAGAAATATATTAAGACATTAGAATGTTTGGTAGTTTGAGGGGCGGACAACCAACGTGGCATCTGAGAGAAAGAGAATTGGTATGATGTTGTAATCGTCCCTGGGAGAAATCATAGCCAGAATGTTTTTCTGTTGCCTTTCAGAGAAATGGATTTTAATTACAGGAGCCAGAAACTGGCCAGGGCTAACAGAGGTGGCCATTAATTTAATGATGTTTAAAGTGCTAGTTTTATGTCTTGATGTCACGTGGAAAGGACCGGGGAGGGGGGTGGGGATGTTTAATGCAGAGGGAAAATGGCTGGAAAACAAAGTGGCACGTCACGTGACAAATGGCCGACGTCAAAGGTAATTATAGCGGTGTCTTTACCAGGAAACGGTTTATGAAGGTCATTTCTGGTTGATAGATGGATAAGGGAGGTCGGCGGGATGAAATATCATTAATATTGTAAGGAAATAAAGCGATCTTATCACTAATTACCGGAATAATGATTGAAATAATGACGGTGGTAATTGACGTATTGTTACCAAGTGAACATTGTCTTTCTGCCTTGTAGCAGTTTGCAGCCATTGCAAGAAATTTATCCGCCTGTGCCGTGATGTGAATCGTTAAGCCTTGAATCTGATAGATGGCGCCCTTGGCGGGGCCCAGGCTGATCAAAACTGATGTGGCCCAGAATATAAAGCAGACACGGTTTTGTTCAAGCTAAACATGAAACTAAACGTTTTTTCGGCCGCTGCCGCAGTGAGACTGGTTTGTGTCAAACTCATCCAGGAGAGATAATCACTCTCTCATGACTCCATTATGACTCGACAATTATATGGGCATCGATAGTCTGCCCCTGTTGAGCTACGGGCGGCACCTAGTGGCTGCAAACGAGGCTATAAATCTATGATAATTGTTGATATTGCTAATCATTATCGGCCAAACCTTGTTCTCTGAGAACTGTTTTTGTCGGCCCCAATTGCCGGGTCGCGTGCCGGATCTGGCAGAAGTCGGTGTGACAAACAAGTCGTTCGTTGACGTAGTTTGGGCATTCGGAGCTAAGCTGAACCACTTAGCTACTTCTAATACTCATTTCTGATTTATCAGATGGGGAAGTTGGTGATTTGAAAGCGACAAAAAGTACATTTTGTTCTAAATGCGATCCGCCTAAAGATTCACGGTTACTCATGTGGTTTGAAACATGACACTATTCTGTCATAAGGTGTTCAGTGGTGGAGTGTTAAATACTAGTGATGTGTGAAAACTGAAAATGTGTGAGAAATGAAAATGTGTGAGTATGGAAAAGAAGTTAATGGAAACATGACCGCGCGTCATGTTAACGTCATTTCATTGAAGAGGACACCCGACATAAAACCTTTGACTACCCGGCTAGCTAGAATGGCTGGTTAAACTCCTTGTCGCGGCGACCGGTGACAAACTCTTTGTAGTCCTGGTTCACGCCCAGGGGTAGGCAGAAAAGCCACATTTCCCCTAGATTTACCGTACATATCATTGAATCAAGGCCGAAGGGTTGCGACATCCATAGTACCGAGTTCAAGTTGCCCCTAGATTCTTGACACAAGTTGCCCCTAGATTCTTGGTAAAAGTTGACCCTAGATTCTTGGTACAAGTTGCCTCTAGATTCTTGTTACATGTGCCCCTAGACTTTGGTTCAAGGTTACCCTAACTTCCTGGTACAACAAGTTCACAGATACTTGGTCCAAGGTGACAATTAATAGCTGGCTTAATGTTCCAGCAGACTCCTGGTATAAATCGCCCCTAGATTCTTAGTACAAGGTGTTCCTAAATTTCTGGTACAAGTTCATAGATCGCTGGTACAAGATGTCCCCAAGTTCCTGGTACAACGAGTTCATATATTGTTGGTACAAGATGTCCCCAAGTTCCTGGTATAATGAGTTCATATATTGCTGGTAAAAGATGTCCCTAAATTCCTGGTACAACGAGTTCATAGATTGCTGGTACAAGATGTCCCCAAGTTCTTGGTACAACAAGTTCATAGACTGCTGGTACAAGATGTCCCTAAATTCCTGGTACAACAAGTTCATACATTGCTGGTACAACGTCACAGCTGGCTCAAGGTGCCAGCGGATACCTGGTACATGATAACCCTAGATTACAAGACTAAGGTACCCGAACACAATATCCCAAGCTATGTGTCACCTCAGTGACAATAATAACAATCACAAATCATAAAAAATAACTAAAGTTTTATTGTCTTTGCCAGGTGAAGGTCTGGTTCCAGAATCGCCGCACGAAACACAAGAGAATGAAAGCGGAAGAAGATGGGGGTTCGTCCGGATCTCAAGTGGAGGGTCAGGACGGAGATGACGGCAAAGCTGGAGACGGAGGCGAGTTCTCCGGGTATTCAGATCACAACGAAGAAGATGAACAGTGCAGTGAAGAAGAAGAAGAAGAGGAACTGTCTGTGACAGAGGACTGTTAGTGTGGGGTTGCACTGGGCAATAGGAGGTTCTGACACAATTGACTTGGCGGGGCGATGTTCATGACATCTGGAATCCTGGAGGGGCGACACAGAAGGTGCTTGTTCAACATCGTTCAAACCACACGCCAGAATCTGTGATCAGAATGTCAGGGCATGCTGAGACATTGTTATCCACATCTTTGGATGTACCGTTTTTGGATACAACTGATGTGGAGACTTCTGCTAAACGCCATGACTGAGAGTTACACTATAAAAAGGTGCTGAAAGCAGCGAACTGTTCAGCAAGATCATGGTATTCTTACAAATGAAAGTCACCGGACATGCTACGTTGTGTTTTTCATCGTATATTGACTACATCTGGGCCGAATGATGCTGAAACCATGCCTCTTGTTTCAGGAAAACAAAAATATTGAACTTACCTAGTTAAAACGACGCATTAAAATTTCTTGTAATTCAGTGAAACATGTATCTGGTTCTGCGAGCAACTGGTCATATGAGTTAAAGACACTGTCAGTTGTACATTTGTGTGTAGAATTCAAACTGAGGCCCGATGAACCTGAACTTAAAGATGCATCTACTAGACCAGTAGGGTTCTACACATATGGATATAATATGTGTGTTCATTTCACACATACTAATCCCACTCCGTGTCCCTCTCCACAGCCTGCATACCAATAATAAATAAACTAGAACATAACATACGATATCAATGACACAGTTATGGCACCCAAAGTGTAATATTTCCAAGGGTCCATAGAGAACCATTCCAGGTGCTGGGTTGTGAATTATCAAGAGGACAGATGGATCTGTCCAGGCTCAGACACCCTGTGCACATCCAGCTCCTATACTGGAACGTTAAAACTGTTAGGGCAGAATAGAAACAATGCAAACAAATGCTAATTCTGTACAGCAAATATGGATGAACTGCGTTTTTTTCGGTATTTCATCGTCAACAAAATTCACACCAAAACCTAAAGCAATTGGCACCAGTACAGTGTACATGACTGCAATGATTGTCTTCAGGTTTACATGAAGTCAGGTGTAAGGTACTGTCAGGTGTCACTACTGGCCCTCGGACATGGCAAGAATGTACATTTCAAGCCGCATACAACAATAAAAGAACACTGTGTCTGTCAGTATGTTTGTCACAGGGAAACCCCGAACACTGGTCTGACCTTGACTTTCTACTGGCTAGGCGTGGCTGCACGTCTCCGACAACGGGTTTTCATCTTGTGTGCCTACAGTTGCCCATTCTTTCTGTTGCCTGGTGTCTTGTCTGACATGGACCCATCTCTGGCAGTGATAATTGAACGATAACAGAAACATCTGATTGTCAATTTGCAATGAGCATCTGCACGCAGCCACTTGATTTCAAGCCTGGCATCGAATCGCTGGGAATATACCTAGGTTTCGGTCGCCGATCAACTGCAAGGACTCAACCAAAACCACATCCGGTTTATAGTGTTCAATGTCAGCTCTTTTGAGTTTAAGGAGATTCTGAATAATCTGTGTTTAAAAAAAAAAAAAATGTGTCAAGTGTAAAATATTAAATTCCATGTACACATATTTTTAGTTTTGCTTTGTACGTCAGTCAATATGTGTTTTTGTTAAAGTATGTTATCACAATCAACGCTGTTGCACGCTGGGTATTCTTCTGAAGATATATCTGTTATGTTATGCTTTTAGTTGTTATAATATTTGAGTTATAATGTGTATGTTAGCACGATCGAAGTCACCCCACGATCAAAGTCATACCACGATCAAAGTCATCCCACGGTCGAAGACACCCCACGATCGAAGTCACCCCAAGATCAAAGTCACCCCATGATCGAAGTCACCCCACGATCGAAGTCACCCCACGATCGAAGTCACCCCAATATCAAAATCATCACACGATCGAAGTCACCCCACGATCAAAGTCACCCCACGGTCAAAGTCACCCCAAGATCGAAGTCACCTCGAACTGGGTTTTCTGACACCTGCTCAGTGATTCAATGACAACAAGAAAAAACCCACTGCCTCGTCAACAAGCGTGTCGTAGAAGTCGACTAATTGGTCGCATCCTTCTAAGTGGAAGTGCATCTGCCTGAGCTGCAAAGAGCAACCAACTCCCCACAAATAAGCCAGTCAAACGAATTAGACGCAAAACTCAGGTCCTGGCAAAAACCCAAATTCCTAATTTCGCCGAAGTTTAGAAGTTTGAACATGGTATCAACATCACGACACACGAGTAGTAACCTCTAAGTGCTCGGTCTGGGCCCGAAGAAGCTCAGCACAGTGCACAGGCTCTGTAGCACCGTCGAGATTCCTGAAATACTTTGGGTAGAATTTTAATAATACACACAAGCGTCTGATTTCACTACCCAGAGACCAGAGGGAATTACTAGACCTTACCTGGGATTGAAGCCGGAACCTCTAGTACTCGAGGCGGACACCATACCTCGAGACCACGCAGCTCCCTCGCCGAAGTTTAACAAAAGAGAAGACATCACGTTATCCTTGGAGTGCCCTCAATAGAGGCTGACGACACTGACTCTACAACGATCTCTCATCTCCTACAGATTGCTGGTTGTCTGTCACTTGGTCTTATCGTTCCACTAATACCACGGTCGACATCTTGCCTGCATTCTAGACTGGCGTGTTTAAGATTGCGATGTCTGGTGATTTGTCAATGATGTTTGATGTATCTTTCTGCAAACAAATCCTGGTTATCCCTAAATTATCCAGTTCGCCTCGACCTCTTCGCGTCTGTTGTTTCCCCCCAAACGCATCTACTAGTATACAGTAATCATCGATATTTGCGGTGATTTTAGACTGAGAGGGTTTCACTCCAGTGTCATTCTTCCGTACACATACATTCGGAGGCTTGGTTCAAAACATTGTTCAGAGTTGAAATCTTACCTAGTCAACCCGCCAACCAACCAGTCAACTCTCCAGCCAACCAGTCAACACATTATTCAATAGGCGATGCCTACACATTATATCAAGCCTACACATCACTGTTTCCTGTACCATCTCTCTATTACACTGTGCCTCTGATCCGCGTTTAAAATATTCTCAAAGAGATTTTAGTCCTATTATGTATGTTAGGCGTAATGCTGACCACATTACCCACAGAGTGCTGATGGTCTGTAAAATATGGGACGCTCTGCCCATATGCCCGATGTGCCGAAAGGCGCGAAAAGGGATCTTTACTTTTACTTGTATGTATGTTATTCTCCAACTGGTATCGCTGTCAGTCTCCTTTTCGCGTGCCTCCAACTTTCCACTTAGTTTGGTTTCCACTGGAGTTATAGTCTCTTGGTGTGGTCACATTTTTTTTTTATCTGTCAATTGTTTCCTGTGTCTTTCGGTATCCCTCGTGTTACGTCCAGCCTCTACATTCTACAGCATTTCTTGGGTGGTTGGTTTGTTCCAGCGAAAGATAACAAAATCATCCGTGTATGACCAACACTAGTCCCGTCAGGGATTTCTAACTGCTTGTTCATTGTCCAGGTTCCAATGGCAACAAAACACACACAGAGAGAGAGAGAGAGAGAGAGAGAGAGAGAGAGAGAGAGAGAGAGAGAGAGAGGGAGGGAGAGAGAGAGAGAGAGAGAAAGAGAGAGAGAGAGAGAGAGAGAGAGAGAGAGAGAGAGAGAGAGAGAGAGAGATTATGAAGGAGACAAAGTAGAACAATCTGCAAGTTAAAAGCTTTGTCTCAGAAGAAACACATACACAAAATCATGCAGGGCCTCCAGCAACACATCAGAGTGGGTGCCAGGGGTTATCGGTTGGGGAAGGGGGGGGAGGGAGGGGGTAAAGGGGGCGGGCGGTGCATTATGACTCAGCCAACCTAACATTGTTTCGCCTGAGTTAAAAATCTACACAACATTCATATTTTGGCGACTTCCAAACATTTTTTTTTAAGTCTGCAATTTCTTTTTCTCTCATAATCCTACAGTTTTTAATTGAAAGAAAATCCATTTCTGTTTTGTCATTATTGATAAAAAAAAATTCTATTTTATATTATATTTTAAAATACATCACATATTATCTATCTTGTATTATCTCAAAGGGATTCGTAATTGTATGGCTGATTTAACTAGAGAAGACAAAAAGACATTAAACCATTGGTGACACTAGAAACCTTCTGGGCCTGTCATGTCCTTGTCACAAGTAGTCTGCACATGTTCTGATCCTTACAACGGTAACAGAGCCGGAGGTAGACCACTCAGAACATAGACCGCAGAAATATCACAGACACTGAAAAGTTCTTTATACCAAGTGAACAGAAGCACCCGTTCTGAAGATCTCTTCCCACCCTGAGGCCGCGAGACATTCCAGTGGTCGAGAAAAAAAGAAAGAGAAGAATTTATGGTGATTAAATATCGGAAGGTGGATCTCTCATACATTCATTCAAGTGACATCAATGCTGTCGCACGTCTTGTTTCAACTATGCAACACAATTAGGAGATGATGGGACATGTTCACTTCCTTGTTCACTTCCTCAATCGATCACGGCTATTCCATGCAGAACTGAGAGGAAACAACACAGGCACCGGACAACAGAGTTTAACTCTAACCATGCACAAGTTAATCTGTACACCCTAGGGGAGGGTTAAACCCTGAGCATCCACAAGTTAATCTGTACACCCTAGTTGAGGGTTTAACTCTAACCATGCACAAGTTAATCTGTACACCCTAAGGGAGGGTGAAACTCTGACTGTGTACATGTTAGCCTGTGCTTCATAGGTGGCAGTTTAACTGGAGTTAGTCTGTGCTACGTAGGGGAGGGTTTAACTCTGACTGTGTACACATTAGCCTGTTCTACATAGGTGAGAGTTTAACTTCTTGTACCAGTTAGACTGTGCGAACTAGGGGAGGGTTTAACTCTGACTGTGTACACGTTAGTCTGTGCTACCTAGGGGAGGGTTTAACTCTGACTGTGTACACGTTAGTCTGTGCTACCTAGGGTTAGCCAGAAAAGATCCATTTGTAAGTTACTTTCCCATGGGTGAGGATAGAACACCGACCATCTGCCAGTTAACATGAGCTGGTTGTGCAAGAACTGAACTCCGACCATGTAGAAGTTTGTCTGAACTTCCTAAGCGACGATGAAGCTGGAACCATGAGCTAGCTGGTCTGGCCTGCCTGGACAAATACCTTTCAGTGAAACATGATGTGCTGTCTTTGAGTGTGGTCTGTGTGCAGCATACAGATCATCACGTAAGTCTGTCTATTAGGGAATAGAACATCATCTTAATCATCATCACCACCATCATCATTAACATCATCTTTGTCATCGTTTTCAACATTTCTTTGCAACATTGCCAGTACTAAAAATGAAGTGACTGTTCACTCTTTCTTTAGTTGTACTTCAGTGCTCATCAAGTTATCTTCGTCAAGTTCACATGTTTGTTTCTTTAGTTGTACTTCAGTGCTCGTCAAGTTATATTCGTCAAGTTCACATATTTGTTTCTTTAGTTGTACTTCACTGCTCATCAAGTTATCTTCGTCAAGTTCACATATTTGTTTCTTTAGTTGTACTTCAGTGCTCATCAAGTTATATTCGTCAAGTTCACATATTTGTTTCTTTAGTTGTACTTCAGTGCTCATCAAGTTATATTCGTCAAGTTCACATATTTGTTTCTTTAGTTGTACTTCAGTGCTCATCAAGTTATCTTCGTCAAGTTCACATATTTGTTTCTTCAGTTTTACTTCAGTGCTCAAGTTATCTTCGTCAAGTTCACATGTTTGTTTCTGAGAGAAACGGATTGGCGAGGCTCTAAGGATTCAAACCGCTGTGTCACACCCTAATCCTCTTCTAGTTCTACCTGCTGTGTGACCCCCTTCCAGTTGCCTGAACCCTGATAGGCTGGTTAACAACTCCAGGCTTGTATCTCGTCACGTGACGCACTATATCATTAAGTCACGTCAGAAGATTGACACATACAGACCAGGAAATGCCAATCAGAGGCCCAATGAAAAATGAAATGTAACGCCCACAGGATCAACAAAGTCCATATCGGCAACTGTTGCAAGCCACTACTGGATTCCCTGGCCAAGCTGACCTGGGGCAACTGTTGCAAGCCACTACTGAATTCCCTGGCCAAGCTGACGTGGCGTAGTTTCTCAGCGTTCGCCTGCCGACGTAGACATTTTGGATTCCAGTTTGCATAGACTAGGACTTATTACCTTCTTTAAAATTGATCATAGCTTCCAGGTGTATCTAGCCTTAAAGATATAGAGATAATTCCAGGTGTATCTAGCCTTAAAGATATAGAGATAATTCCAGGTGTATCTAGCCTAAAAGATATAGAGATAATTCCAGGTGTATCTAGCCTAAAAGATATAGAGATAATTCCAGGTGTATCTAGCCTAAAAGATATAGAGATAATTCCAGGTGTATCTAGCCTAAAAGATATAGAGATAATTCCAGGTGTATCTAGCCTAAAAGATATAGAGATAATTCCAGGTGTACCTAGCCTAAAAGATGTAGAGATAATTCCAGGTGTATCTAGCCTAAAAGATATAGAGATAATTCCAGGTGTATCTAGCCTAAAAGATGTAGAGATAATTCCAGCTGTATCTAGCCTTAAAGATGTAGAGATAATTCCAGGTGTATCTAGCCTAAAAGATGTAGAGATAATTCCAGCTGTATCTAGCCTAAAAGATGTAGAGATAATTCCAGGTGTATCTAGCCTAAAAGATGTAGAGATAATTCCAGGTGTATCTAGCCTAAAAGATGTAGAGATAATTCCAGGTGTATCTAGCCTAAAAGATATAGAGATAATTCCAGGTGTATCTAGCCTAAAAGATGTAGAGATAATTCCAGGTGTATCTAGCCTAAAAGATGTAGAGATAATTCCAGGTGTATCTAGCCTAAAAGATGTAGAGATAATTCCAGGTGTATCTAGCCTAAAAGATGTAGAGATAATTCCAGGCGTATCTAGCTTAAAAGATGTAGAGATAATTCCAGGTGTATCTAGCCTAAAAGATGTAGAGATAATGTTTTCAGAGAAACGGCGGCGGGATGTTGACCACCTTACTCACTGAGTGCCTTTTGGCACATGAATTACGTCCTGTTTGTCAGTTTGCCACCAGCTGGCACATATGTTACGTTCTGTTTGTCAGTTTGCCACCAGCTGGCACATGTGTTACGTCCTGTTTGCCAGTTGACGCCCAGTTGGGAGATGTGTTACCTCCTGTGAAATCTATTGCAGCAAAGACTCAGAGCTCCTATCAATGTTGGCAGTGCACTAAACCGACCTGAACTAAAAATCAAAGGCATTAAATGCAATAACTAAACCTGACATAATACTTTACAGTTCACTAAAGAGCAGGTAAACAAGACAGAGAAAGGACTGAGCTATTATTCGGAGTACACAATGAAGTCTAAAACAACAATAATAAGAACACAAATGACTGACTTCAAGGACAGTATAGACAGAAGAAAATGTAACAAAAGTATTCAAGTTTTTCAGGCTGTCTCATATTTTTGTAACTAGACCTGGTGTGGCTTTTCGGCGATTTGATCATTCTGAGCGTTTTCTCTGGGCTGAAAAATTTGCAGCCGTCCTCACGTGTTCGATGCACCCACTTAGAACCGGACCGGCCTCTGTAATTTGCCGACTGCATTGAAGCCCCTGAATTGGCCATCTCTAATCTCATCTCGCAGTTTGTTTATCCTAATCCAAGTGCAGATAACTCCGTTATTAATCACATTTCCTAACACAAGCGCCGCAAGACTCCAAAAATATGAAGTGCTGGTATAAGCTGGCAGCACGTCTTGGGGCGAAGCGTTCCTCTCAATCGGCCGCATTATCCATCAGTTATCGAACATTACGGTTTAAAGTGAATAGAGATGAGAGTATTAAGAGATAGCTGCGACGGCGGGATGGCCTCAACGGAGCATGAATCACGGTCAAATTGAATTTGCTGGCAGGGAAAATGACCAGCTCTGGACAGAAATCGAACTCCCTAAAATGGCCAACGTCTGAAATGATTGTTTTCACAAGCAGTTCCAAAGCCCGCACTGGAAACGTTTCCAAAGAAGAATCACGACAACGGAAGTGACAATGGTCGTTTGTTTGATCGCTCTTGTCGCAGACAGAACAAGGGAGAGAAAATCTTCACGCATTAACTCTTGTAAGTGTTGGCTCGATTTTGATTGAACGTTTATCACAGCCGCGCAATTAAGCCCAATTTTGGTAATGGTCGATTGTGCCTGATCCAGCCTCATTCATTAGTGTTTGGCCAGCTATCTGAACACGGCTGATGGGGAGGTAATTGGAGCGAAATTGAGTAGCCATTACTGGGCAGATGATGTGCCCCCACCAAAAACGGGTAAATCACCAGAAATTGACACGAGATCATGCCAGCAATCAAATCAACACTGCCTCTTTGGGGCCTGCCAGATAACGGCTCTTGGAGAATATCCAACACCCAGAATAGATTCCTTAAACATCTCATCCGATTCCAGTTTTCCAACAAATTAAAAAATAGGTAATATTTTTTCATTTATAATTTTCCTAGCAGCTTCTACGGACCACGAACACTGGCATCAGTCTCTAGAGCGCCAGCCAAAAGTTACAGATCTATATGTGTTTTTATTTGTTTGTCTGCCTATCTTGAATGAACGCCCGACTGGCTGCTTGTCTCACTGTCTGCCTATCTGTCTGCTTGACAGTTTTTCCGTCTTTCAGTCTCTGTGGTTCTTATACGCCTATCTGACTATATGTCTGTCTGTCTATTTGAGTGTCTGTCTATCTGGTATTTGTCTGTCTCTGCCTGCCTGTCTATGTGGTTGTCTGACAAAAAGTTTGTAAGTATATATTCCTGCACTGCACCTGATACGCCAACAACAAGAAGCAGACAGACGGAAGCAAAGAATAATTATCCCAAATAATCTATTGAGTGTCCACAGAAGGTAGGTGAGAAATAGACGACATCATCCACTGAGTGTATGTAGAAGGTAGGTGAGAAATAGACGACATCATCCACTGAGTGTATGTAGAAGGTTGGTGAGATATAGACATCATCCATTCAGTGTCTGTAGAAGGTTGGTGAGATATAGACATTATCCACTGAGTGTCTGTAGAAGGTTGGTGAGATATAGACATCCTCCATTGAGTGTATGTAGAAGGTTGGTGAGATATAGACATTATCCATTCAGTATCTGTAGAAGGCTGGTGAGATATAGACATCATCCATTGAGTGTATGTAGAAGGTTGGTGAGATATAGATATCCTCCATTGAGTGTATGTAGAAGGTTGGTGAGATATAGACATTATCCATTGAGTGTCTGTAGAAGGCTGGTGAGATATAGACATTATCCATTGAGTGTGTGTAGAAGGTTGGTGAGATATAGACATTATCCATTGAGTGTCTGTAGAAGGTTGGTGAGATATAGACATCATCTATTGAGTGTATGTAGAAGGCTGGTGAGATATAGACATTATCCACTGAGTGTATGTAGAAGGCTGGTGAGATATAGACATCATCCATTGAGTGTATGTAGAAGGCTAGTGAGATATAGACATTATCCATTGAGTGTATGTAGAAGGCTAGTGAGATATAGACATCATCCATTGAGTGTATGTAGAAGGCTGGTGAGTTATAGACATCATCCATTGAGTGTATGTAGAAGGCTGGTGAGTTATAGAAATCATCCATTGAGTGTATGTAGAAGGCTGGTGAGTTATAGACATCATCCATTGAGTGTATGTAGAAGTCTGGTGAGATATAGACATTATCCATTGAGTGTATGTAGAAGGTTGGTGAGATAAAGACATCATCCATTGAGTGTATGTAGAAGGCTGGTGAGTTATAGACATTATTCATTGAGTGTGTGTAGAAGGCTGGTGAGATATAGACATTATCCACTGAGTGTATGTAGAAGGTTGGTGAGATATAGACATCATCCATTGAGTATATGTAGAAGGCTGGTGAGTTATAGACATTATCCATTGAGTGTATGTAGAAGGTTGGTGAGATATAGACATCATCCATTGAGTGTATGTAGAAGGCTGGTGAGATATAGACATTATCCATTGAGTGTCTGTAGAAGGTTGGTGAGATATAGACATCATCCATTGAGTGTATGTAGAAGGCTGGTGAGATATAGACATCATCTATTGAGTGTATGTAGAAGGCTGGTGAGATATAGACATCATCTACTGAGTGTATGTAGAAGGCTGGTGAGATATAGACATCATCCATTGAGTGTCTGTAGAAGGCTGGTGAGATATAGACATCATCCATTGAGTGTCTGTAGAAGGCTGGTGAGATATAGACATTATCCATTGAGTGTATGTAGAAGGCTGGTGAGATATAGACATCATCCATTGAGTGTATGTAGAAGGCTGGTGAGATATAGACATTATCCATTGAGTATCTGTAGAAGGCTGGTGAGATATAGACATTATCCATTGAGTGTATGTAGAAGGCTGGTGAGATATAGACATTATCCATTGAGTATCTGTAGAAGGCTGGTGAGATATAGACATTATCCATTGAGTATCTGTAGAAGGCTGGTGAGATATAGACATTATCCTTTGAGTGTATGTAGAAGGCTGGTGAGATATAGACATCATCTACTGAGTGTATGTAGAAGGCTGGTGAGATATAGACATTATCCATTGAGTGTCTGTAGAAGGCTGGTGAGATATAGACATCTATTGAGTGTATGTAGAAGGCTGGTGAGATATAGACATCATCTATTGAGTGTATGTAGAAGGCTGGTGAGTTATAGACATTATCCATTGAGTGTATGTAGAAGGCTGGTGAGATATAGACATTATCCATTGAGTGTATGTAGAAGGTTGGTGAGATATAGACATCATCCATTGAGTGTATGTTGAAGGCTGGTGAGATATAGACATTATCCATTGAGTGTCTGTAGAAGGCTGGTGAGATATAGACATCATCCACTGAGTGTATGTAGAAGGTTGGTGAGATATAGACATCATCCATTGAGTGTATGTAGAAGGCTGGTGAGATATAGACATTATCCATTGAGTGTCTGTAGAAGGCTGGTGAGATGTAGACATCATCCATTGAGTATATGTAGAAGGCTGGTGAGTTATAGACATTATCCATTGAGTGTATGTAGAAGGTTGGTGAGATATAGACATCATCCATTGAGTATATGTAGAAGGCTGGTGAGATATAGACATTATCCATTGAGTGTATGTAGAAGGTTGGTGAGATATAGACATCATCCATTGAGTATATGTAGAAGGCTGGTGAGATATAGACATTATCCATTGAGTGTCTGTAGAAGGCTGGTGAGATATAGACATTATCCATTGAGTGTCTGTAGAAGGGTGGTGAGATATAGACATTATCCACTGAGTGTCTGTAGAAGGCTGGTGAGATATAGACATTATCCACTGAGTGCCTGTAGAAGGCTGGTGAGATATAGACATTATCCACTGAGTGTCTGTAGAAGGTTGGTGAGAAATAGACATTATCCACTGAGTGTCTGTAGAAGGCTGGTGAGATATAGACATTATCCACTGAGTGTCTGTAGAAGGTTGGTGAGATATAGACATTATCCACTGAGTGTCTGTAGAAGGCTGGTGAGATATAGACATAATCCACTGAGTGTATGTAGAAGGCTGGTGAGATATAGACATTATCCACTGAGTGTCTGTAGAAGGCTGGTGAGATATAGACATTATCCACTGAGTGTATGTAGAAGGTTGGTGAGATATAGACATTATCTATTGAGTGTATGTAGAAGGCTGGTGAGATATAGACATTATCCACTGAGTGTCTGTAGAAGTTTGGTGAGATATAGACATCATCCACTGAGTGTATGTAGATGGTTGGTGAGATATAGACATCATCCACTGAGTGTATGTAGAAGGCTGGTGAGTTATAGACATCATCCATTGAGTGTATGTAGAAGGTTGGTGAGATATAGACATTATCTATTGAGTGTATGTAGAAGGTTGGTGAGATATAGACATCATCTATTGAGTGTATGTAGAAGGTTGGTGAGATATAGACATTATCCACTGAGTGTATGTAGAAGGTTGGTGAGATATAGA